AAATAACAAAAAAATTTTTACTTAAAATTTATTTAAATTTGACTTTTTTTCTGATAATTTTAATAATAATTAAGATATATCATGTATTCAAATATATTAAAATAATAATCATAAAAATAAATAACAAAAATAAGTTTTTAATAAGTTTTTATTAATTTTTTTAAATTTTATTTTATACTGATATATTTTACAAATTTATTATTAGATACAGATACTTCTAATAAAATTGTTTAAAGAAAATTTTACTTTATTATTATTATTATCATTATTTAAATATTGATATATAACTATTAATATATATTAATGTAATAGATTTTTTAAATTAAAAATATTTGTGTATTATATGTTAAACTTTTTATTTAATAAATAATAATAATAATATTAATATTAATATATCAATATTACTAGAGATGTTAAACAGTTCTTAATTAATTCTTATAATTTAAGAGATTACTAACTCTAAAGAAGTTTAATCACTTATCTATAATAAGTAACCTTTATCAAAAAAATAGCATAAAAATTTTATAATTAATTTGTAAAAAGCAAAAATAATATTTAAAATTGACAATTTTGATTGAATCATTAAATATAAGACTGGTTCTTAGGATCTAGTCCTAAGTTCTTAAATTTTAAATTTTAAGATATTCTGAGATTTCAAAAGGATTTATTATATATTTTTCATTTAGTAGTTCATTAAAATATTATAATAAATAAGTTTCATAATAAATTTGTAAATATAATTCTTTGTAATTTTCTTGGAATTTTTAGGATCACTTAGGATCACTTAACATTTCTAGATATTACATTAAGATTTTATTATTAGAATGATAATAATTATCATTATAATATAATTTTAAATTTTATCTGTTAAGAATATAACTCTAAAATTTAGTAATAATATGTAAATTTATTGATACTATAAAATTATATTGATAATATTTGAATTTTATATAGAAAAATTGCTAAAATTTTAAAATTTGATACAAATATTAGGCTCAAATTTTATTTATTAATTATATAATTCTAAATATTAAACATTATATATAAAATAGTAGCACTATAACTTTATTTAGAAAAGAAAAATATATTTAAAATGATAATTTTGAATTTTATATAATGCTAAAAATTATTGCATCATAAATTTTTTATTTTAAAATTTCAATTGAAGATTCTTCAAAACTATTATAATTATGACATTAATAAATTGATTTTTAGCAAGAAAAGAACTTGATTAAATTTATGTTAAAATAATAAAAAGTGTGTAAACTAGATTTGTTACATAAAAATTGTGAAAATGCAACGTGTCAATCTCAATTCCAAAGGGCAAATATTGTGTAACATTGAATTATGAAATTTTATCATATTTTTAGAGGTTTTACAATCCTAAATTTGGAGACATATCCTATCTTATTATTTTAATTTGAAATAGAAAGAAATATTAAAAATTTAAATAAAAGGTTATTTGTACCTTTAAAAGAAAATGAAATCTCTTTATTTGGAAATAATGATAATAATGTAAGTATAGAAAGTATATTTAATCTATACATATAATTTTATGAATAATTAATAATTATTACTTTTTTATATAAGTAATAAATGTATTTAAATTAAAATTACAAAATAAATTGTTTTCGGCAAATGTTGCTTCTTGATAAAAAGGAAATGATCGGAAAATGTGATTAGCCACCGGATTTTATAGATTTTCCTGGATACACAAAGGTGTAACCTATCTCAGAATAATTGAGAGAAATATCAGATCTGATACCAGCACAAACTTTCCTGGAACACATTAAAATTCTCTTTGGTACACTTTGGTAAAATATGACCGGGATCGAAAATTCTACCTCTACTGAAATTCCACCGACTAAAGGTAAAGGTAAAGCCGTCGAAGAAGATATTGTTGTAGAAAAGCCTAAACCAGCTAACCAAGTAGCGGTCGAATATCAACTTAAGGCTATCGAGTGGATTGAACCTTCGGGAAAAGTTCGAAAACTAAAAGTTATCACACAAAATGGTATGATCTTTATATAATTTTATGAACTTTCTTTTTCGTTATTAACCTGGAATCTTTTATATATAGAGAATGGACCTTGCCCTTTATTAGCACTTTGTATGTATCAATTTACACATCGTCTTGTAAAATTTTGATAGTTAATATTTTTTCTTTGATTTATAGGTAATGTATTGCTTTTGCGAGGAGATATTGAAATAAAACCATATGATCGTCCAACTGTTACTTACGATTTTCTCGTAGAATTATTAGGAGATTATTTACTGAAATCAATTCCACAAGGAGAAGCTGAGGTACGTATCAAATTATTTAATCATTTGAATGCTTTGTTGTATTATCTAGTTTTATTATTGACTTTTTTAAGTAATTAATTATTTCAAGATTCAGAAAAGATTACAAGTGACAAACGGGACATTATCCCCAAAACAAGAGGAAAAAGAAAGAGAATCACAACCAAAAAATAATACAAATGGGATTGAAGATATAACAAATAAAGTTCAATGTATTGCTTTAGAAGATGGTGTGACGGATAAAGGGAATCACCAACCTAATGGTGATTTCGATTTAACAAGGCCATCTTTGCAAGATTATCATCATACACTCAACGCTGCTCTATCTATCATTCCATCATTACAAACTGGGTTAGATGTAAATGTTCGATTCAACTCAATTCACGGCTTTGAACCTACTGCGGAATTATCTGTTTTTGATGTTTTCCATGTAGATCTTGTTCATGGATGGGTAGTTGACCCACAGGATGAGGATACTTGGAAAGTAGTGGTTGGAAAATGTAGTAGTTATAATAGAGCAGTAGAATGTGTTGTCGGAGGTGATTCTGTGAGCAAAGGTATTGTGGTTGAAAGTTCTAATAAAGCTTCAAACAACGGTTTTGAGGATTCGCAAGGAACTCTAAATGATGAGGATAGCGTTAGAGTGCGTGATGGTATGCTGGATTTTTTTATTTTCCTTTATATTTAAATATATTATTTAATTTTCTTTTTCGGGATTTTTCACCATTTTTGTATTTTAAACATAATCTTAGCTCTGATTACTTCTTCATTTTTGGAATCTACTGCGACACAACTCACATATCATGGTTTGTTAACATTGTCCGAAACTTTACCGCCAGGAAACCTTTGCGTTTTTTTCCGGAATAATCATGTGAGTTTGTGATAACGTGCATGCTGCTAGAGTGGGTAAACTTTTTACCTTAGTTAACTGAAAAAAATATATCTATTATTTTTTACTTTTATTAATGATTAATTTCATCCGTAATACTAAAATTTCTCGATTTCTATTTATTATATTATTACAAAAGTTCTCAACGCTTTATAAACATCCAAAAACCTCTACATTATATATTTTAGTCACTGATGCAGGATTTGTTCATGAAAGATCTGTAGTATGGGAATCTCTTATCGATGTTGATCAAAATGCTTCAGAATTTGTAAATGGACAATTTCAAAAAGGTGAAGCTACAGGCGGTGATTATGTAGACGTAATAGAAGAACACAATGATTTAATGGGAGGTGGCGACCAAGAGTAAGTGAAATTTTTTTACTATTTTGTTTCCTTTTAAATATTCCGTGTTGTATTTTAATATTTTTCTCGCATATTATTATAGTTATGCGTTGGCTTTGAGTCTTCAACAACAAGAAGAAGAACAAGAAGCTGAGTATCGACGTCAACAAGAACTACAACGTAAACGTAATCAAGAAGAAGCGCAAAGAAAACAACAACAAAAGAAAAATCATATTTTACCTTATGAATCTAATCCGCAAACTTCGACTGGCAGTTCTTTTACTACCACGTCATCTGAAAAAGAAAAGAGAAAAGATAAAAAAAATAATTGCATAATTTCTTAGTTTATAGAATTAAAATAATTATTTCTAGATGACATTATAAAAAAAATGAAGTAATATGGCTTTGGTAATTATAGTAAATTAATTTATTTTCTGTGTTCGAAATAATAACTTTTGTGCGCTTGCGCATAAAAAATTTTTATACATTATTATTTCTACAATTTCGAACATTGGATTCTGAATTTGTTGGGGGGTTTTTTTATTATATTTTTTTTTTGTTTGGTTAAGCTTTGTATTAGATCAGTGTATATTATTTTTTCTCTTAATTTATAATAAAATTCCAACATGTGAATTTTATTTTAATTTTAAATTTAATTTATAAACAAAGATTTACGAGTTATATTATTAACTTGTATAAGTTAATAATACAAAAGATAGTTCTTTTTTATTACATTACAATAGTTGTTCAAAGTAGTAGAAATTAAAAGAGATCTACTTTTTACTAAATGTTAATAGAATTGCTCACACATTATTAAAAAAAAACGAAAAGAGAAAAAAAATTTCAATCGACAATTATATTATTAACCGATCTTTTTTTTTTTTTTACATTAATAAAAAAAGAAAACCTTCTCTCTAAATTTAGAGTTTACGATTTTCGTAGAAAAAATTGTTCGTTTGCTTTTCTTTGTTTAAAATAATGAGTTGCAAATCTCCAAACATCGAAGAAAGATCCTGATCTTTCAAAAGTATGTACAAAATAATTTTTTTGTTCCCTTATTGAGAACGTTGTCTAAACTGACCTCCACGGTTTCCTCCTATAATTAAATGAAAAACAAATTAGCTAATATTCTATAACTTTCCGAAATTAATTCTTTGAACAAACCTGAGTAAGCACCTCTTCCACCACCGCGGGGACCTGTACCACGTCCACGGAAGCCTCCTCCATCACGATATCCATCACGATATCCACCTTCTCGGTATCCGCCATCACGGTAATTTTCACGATAACCACCACCATCGCGACCATCTCGATAACCACCATCACGATAATTATTGTCTCTATAACCACCTGAGTCTCTTCGAACCCCTCTAAATCCACGATTATTGCGATGAGGTGCTCTACCTCTGAATCCACTAGAACCTTGTGATAACGGTGGTGGTTGGTCATTATCTTGTTGAATTGACTGTGGTTGTTGTTTTGAATCCGCTAGATCTTCTGAAACAGTTTGTTGTTCTTGTGCATAAAGTGATGGCTCCTCTTGTTGAGATGATTCGTTATGTTCCGTAGAAACCTGCTGTTGATCATTTTGTTCTACGACAAAATGTTGTTGTTCCCCTATGTATGGTTGTTCCACCGTAGATGTATCATAATTCTGCTGTTGCTGATGATATTGTTCATCTGCCATTACATCACTAGTAGATGGAGCTACTGGAATTTGTTCTGCATCTGTACTCTGATAAGTGTATGTAGTACTATTGATTGTGCTTTCTAGAGGTTGTGATTGATCATCTATAAGATTTAAAATGATATTAACAAATATAACCGAAGTAAAACGTTTCGTAAAATTAAATGTATAATTACCAGGATTATACATAAATTGCAATCCACCTGCTGGTATAGTCACTATGATGATAATAATTAGAAAGATGTTATTAATTATCCATATACATAACCATAAATATAGTACAGACTAATTAATTATTTTATCTGAACGAATTCATACCATTGGTAGAATCATCAGATTGAAGGATAGGATGGGGAGCAGGAACTTCTTCAAATGCCTCTTGTATTTCTTCCTGTTCAACCTGCGGTTCTTCAGGAGATTCTAGTATCGGTGGGCTTTGAGTCAATGCAAGTAATTTAGAATCTGTATTTAATTAAGAATGAAAGATTTAAATGAATATTTTGAATTATCTAAATGTAATTTTATAAAATAAAATAAAAAAAAAAAAGATACATGATAAACCATGGGTGGAAGATTCATTATTCGCTGCAGTTTCTTCTGATTCATTAACACCATTTAGTAATGATTTTGTAATCAAGCTCTCATCACCTAATTGTAATTTGTTGACAAGATCCAAGACCTCTCGAATTTTTCCTTCATAAAGTTCTTCGTTCTTTGCATCATCAGTCAAAGATATAAGTTTAGAACGAAGAAATTCAACGCCCTCGAATTCAATTTCTGACAATTTAATGAAACCACGATGTTGTAAGTGAATAAGGTTGAAAAATTGGATGAGTCGTAGTAAGGATTTACAATGCGCAGCCTAGTAATAATACCCCCCAAAAAAAAAAATCAGTATTTTCTTTGGGGAAAGAACGAAAATGTATTCATACCGTTGCTTCTTCAACAGCATTGGCAATGGCTTGATCGCGCTCCGATTGCTGTGCCTTTTTTTGTTCAACTTGTTTCTTAAGTTCCTGTGATGTAACAAAAAAATTAATACGATTTAATAGTATAGAAACGATTTCATCCATACATACTTCTTTTTCAACACTTTCTATTTGCTTGAGTGCTTCGTCAAATTCTTTGATAGCACCACTAGTTTCACCCTTTCTCTCAAGTAAATTAATTTGATCAGCATTCAAATTATTTATGCCATCTGGAGTATTTTTTATGCTTTCATATTTTTCAATTCTCGTCTAATCGTTTAATTGAAAATTTAAAATAGAACAACCGTTAATTGTAGGTAGTTTGCAATTACGTTCCACATTGTTTCGCGTTATCTACTAGAACTAGATAGCATAATACGGCCTTATAGTAAATTGGACTGGATATATGTTCAAAGAAATTCAAGTATAGTAAAATAAAGTATCAAAGTTCTTTTAACTTCTATAATTCACCATCTCAAGCTTTGTTGATCATATATATATTAAAGTAACGTTTTATGTGAATAACAAACGTTTTCATACCATGGCTTTTCTCAATTTTTTAACTCTTTTAGTAAGCACGTCAATATATGGGTTTTTGTTCTCAAGGCTCGATTCACCGGCCGGCGTAATTGGAGAGAGCGTTTCTTGACGTACAAGGGAGAAATCTTTTTCAGTAGTAACTTCTAAAGACTTTCTTTTATCTTTCTTACGAGAAGACGTGGGTGTTGCGTTGGGCATTTTTGATATATAAAATAGTTTTCGTCTTGAATTGTTAAAACCCGTAAACGAACTACTATGCAAAAAAAAAAAAATTTTTTTTTTTTTTTAGCGGAACGAATAAGGAAAAACCTGTTGGTTTCTTTATAATTGACTCTCAGGAAAAAAAATTTCAATCACGTGTATTAAGAGATGTTTTCTGATCCACCAATTAAAGATTAATAAGCCCCAAAAAGAACAATTGGTTCAGGGTCTTTTGGTTGTAAAGAACAAAAAGAACCTAACTAGGTAATAAAAAAGCAATTGGGAGATAGTTCGTTTTAGGCAGTGTTGTCATTTGGGACGGAACGGGACATATACGGAATATATCCAAGGCATTAAATTTTTTGGCGGAACATATCATAGCCTAAAGATTTTAAGAAATACTTGTATATTTTTATATAACAAGTTATAAATGACTAATTCAGGTTTTTTAATCTTTTAAACTTAACAAAAATTTACTTATTTATTTATAAATATTAATTTTATATTATATATTATATGGCTTTCATCAAATTCTTTTATTTAGTATAATATTTTTAGAACATAAAAATAAAATCAAATATAAAATTTTCAATTGCTTTTTAATAAACTATACTTTAATAAATTTATAACTATCTTATATATTCTCCACTAACCTTAAAGATAATTTTAATTCTTTATTATAATATTATATTAATTAATAATTAATATTATTTTAATTTTATATTAATTGTATCTTTACAAATTTACTGCATTATTAAATTCTTAATATTCTTATTTATCTTTTTTTACTATACTTTTTGGGTTATTATCTTATTTAAAAATAACATTATATATTTAAATTATATATAATAAGAGTTCTTAAAAACTTATTTCTAAAATTTTTTTATATAATTTTTTACTAATTTTATAATTTCTTAAATAGTATAAACAATTTTAGATTTAATCAGATTTTATTAATATTATTATAAGATTCATGATATAATTTAAATAGACAATAAAAAAGATTTTAAAGCAAAAATCTAAAAGGGTAATCAAAAAGTTATCCAATTATAATCTCAATAAAGTTTTACTTTATATCAATAGTATTAATTCTAGATTCTTGATTAATCTAAACTCATTTCCTATTATTCAATATTTTGATATATTACTTACTATATTTATAACTTTAATTATCAAAAATTATATTAATCATTTAGTCTTTTGAATCTGATTTTAATTAATTCTAATATACAAAAAAATTATATTATATAACTTATCTTTAAAAAAGTAGAAAAACTAAAAGATACAAAGTATTAAATATGTTTGAGAAATAATTTTATAAACTTAAATTATATATTAATATTTTACGCTATTCTAAAATTAATTTTAAATATGATTTTTCATAAAATATTTAAAATTAAAAAATGATATCTAAGTATAAATTTTGATATCTATTTTAAGGTGAAAATTAAAATTATATATAATAAAATATTAATTATAAAGTATTACTTCAGTTATATTTTATAAAAGATTTTAATTATATTAAAATTCTAAACTGATTTTTTAAAAATATTAAAGCAAAAAAATAATATTAAAATATTAAAATTTTTGAATATATAAAATAAAAATATAACTTTTTAAATATATAAGAGTTAAAAATATTAAAATTTTAAATATAGAACTAATAATATCAAAATTTAATATTTTAATTATTATTTTTTAAGAATTTAAAGTGTAATCTATAATAATATTAAAAGATTAAATTTTTTTTATATAAATTAAATATTAACTAGAATTTAATTTAATAAGCTTTTCACATTTACTATAAAAATATACTTCTTATCAACTAATTTTTAATATATTTTAATAAATAGAATACCTCTTTTCATATATATAAATCTTTTACTAGATAATAAATAAAAAAACAAATATATTCATCATATATATTATAATTTTTTATTATATTAAAATAATTATTTAAAAAGAAAAATTATATAAGTTTTATATAAGATTACTTGTCTAAACTTATTTTAGATTTAGCAAAATATCTAAATTATAGTTTTACTAATTTTTTACTAATATTTTAATATAGTTTCGCATTTTTATAACTTTGATATAATTTTATTTTTTTCAAAATTTCACAGATTTTTTAATAAGATTTTAATATAATTTTGCTAATTTTAATCTTTTTATATGTAAATTTTTAATATAAATATAATAAACTTATGATGGTATTGTGAATGGGTAAATGTAATATA